CTTCCCTTCCTTCCCTTCCTTCCCTTCCTTCTCTTCCTTCCTTCTAGAAGAGCAGTCTGCTTTAGGTCCTTGATGCTAAATGATGGAACATTTTAGCATAATATCTTTTTTCTAGATCAATTTAGTTGTGTAAGACATAAATGCAAGAGGTTCAGAATTGAGTAAAATGCTTTATCAGTGTTTTCCATTCATAAAGTTGCCATTCTCGGGACTAGTTCATGAGTATGCATTTCTTTGTGCTGACTGCTTTAGGTAGAAGTCACATGGCTAGTGGCACTGCAGGACCTGCTGTCTCTATTGGTGGTAGCATTGTCTCTGATTGCCTACAAGTTCTTCCCTACCAAAATCAGTGTGCCATCCTATGATTTCCAAAGCACAGGCAGAGAGTTGAAACCCTTGCCTCTTGTTATATTGTAGAAGGCAGTTCTCTTGCCTCTTGTCTTGCAGTGACTGATTTCATGCACAATTCAAAGGGGCCACACAGGCTCTGTAATCATGAGGAGCTGATGGGTCTGAGAGCAATGTCTTTCTCCCATTAAAAATGGGCTTGCTTACTTCTTCATCCTAGGGTCTTCTTTGGTGTCAGTGGCTTTTGTTTAGCTTTATAATCCATCCACATCAGTTCTTGATGGAAAAAAAAGTGTGAAGATGAATTTTTTTTCACATAGCAAATATCCAGTCATGGAATGATGTCCCTGTTTGTCTGGGTGGTACATAATAAAGAAATAGAGTTGGTATGTACTGGTATCTTGTATTTTTAAGTCCACACTGACCCGTTTACAAAATAAAGTCATATGAGTAGAAATATTTTCAGAATACAAAATAGAAAGATGTCTTAAAATTTTTTGGTATATATTTTGCAAAATATGATATTGAAGGCCATGTATTTAGTAGCACCTTTATTGTATGATAGGGTGAGTGTGGAAATCATCTTTTGATACTTGTTTGTGCCACTTCTTTGCCATGAACAAGCTGTATACCTCTGTGAACTCAGTTTCTTCATAGTAAAATAGCTACCTGGGTGACTTTTAATGAAGAATGTAGAGGCAATGACATGTTTGGGTGGTGTTTTAACACAAATTAAGCATTGAAAAAAATGTTAAATCTCCCCTTCCCTTTTAACCAAAACTACGAAAAATAAATATATGAAAATTAACAGTTTTACTGAGATATAATTCACATACCRTATAATTCACTCAAAGTAAGGAGATTTGAACTTAAAGATCTGCATGGGAAAATTTAATGATGCTTTGCCCATGTCTACACATACCCTTCCTTCTCATTTTCCAGTCTCTTATTGTATCCCTTTGTACACTCATGTATACTCGCATGCATGTTTTCCTGAAACTGGGATATGCCTTTTTGTTTAAAACAAAAAAAGAATTTAAAAAGTTCAAAATGCAAGTGGTGAAAGTTGGCAACTTTGGAAATAAATATTAGTAATTATTAATGGATCTGTGAGACTCAAGGACACCCTTGGTAGAGGGGGCATGGCTAGATTTTCAGTTTGTGGCTTTTCCATAGGAACTTCTGCCATGTCCCACCAACCTCTCAGCTGCCTGACTGAAAAGGGGGACAGTCCCATTGAGACCACAGGAAATGGACCCCCCATTCTGGCTCACCCCAGCCTGGATACATTCACCCCAGAGGAGCTGCTGCAGCAGATGAAGGAGCTCTTGGTTGAGAACCACCAGCTGAAAGGTGAGCAGCCACTCAACCCGTATTCTCCACTCACCTGGGGCCTTTATGAAACATAATTCCTTTGTAACAAGTCTCCTACATGAGCCCAGATGGCTTTTGGTAGGGCTAAAATGCTTTCTGTCATTTACCTCTTGATAACGTAAGAATAAAACATATTCTGTCAGGGACTGGTGATGTTGGTCAGTAGCAGAATGCTTGCCTAGCATGTGCAAGGCCCTGGGATGGATCCTCAGCACTGCAAAAAAAGAAAAAGAAAAAAAATATTCTATCTCAGAGAAATAGTATAGTGACATTTAGTCTATTAAGGGGGAAAAGAAAGGAAAGCTTCTTTGAATACAGACTTAGTCCTAAATATTACCTATTCATAGGAAGCATTCTGATATGTCAAACTATGGCTTTTGACAGAAAGGGTGTTCTTATCACAGAGTGATAGGACCTTCCTTAGTCTCCTAGTTAGAAATGGGAATTTGGGCTATAGTGGAGGTATCCAAATCAATTTTTTTTTTCTTGATACTTTGAGGACTAGAAATGTTCACTAGTCCTGTATGAAAGCAAAAACCACTCATTTTGATATAATCTTTCTCCTGCTGACCCTTGGGCCCAGGCCAAGGCTGGCCTGTTTAGATCCCGAGCCAAGTGGTGAAGTGGGCTGTGGGCACATTTGGTCCATTCTCCTGGTGTGTGTGACTTCCTCATTCTGACCCCCATACAGAAGCCATGAAGCTAAATAATCAAGCTATGAAAGGGCGATTTGAGGAGCTCTCAGCCTGGACAGAGAAACAGAAGGAAGAACGCCAGTTTTTTGAGATACAGAGCAAAGAAGCCAAAGAGCGCCTGATGGCCTTGAGTCATGAAAATGAAAAATTGAAGGAAGAGCTTGGAAAACTAAAAGGGAAATCAGAAAGACCAGTTGAGGTGAGAAGACTGATAAATTATGATGTTGTTTCTTAGTATTTTCAATAGAATCTTATTTGTCTAGACTCCTAGATGAAAACCTTTCATGATTCAGGCTGAACTAGTGTTGTATAAAGTGTTTCTGGTGAAAAAAAATTGATTGCAGTTTTCTTAAAATATGTTTTTAGTTTTTGATGGACATTTATTTATTTATTTATATATGGTGCTGAGAATCAAACTCAGTGCCTCACACATGCTAGCTAGGTAAGCGCTCTACCACTGAGCCACAACCCCAGCCCTTGATTGCAGCTTAAGCCTGTATAATCTCTGCTGGGGAAAAGAAATCTGAAAGGCTTTAACCATGTTGATTGTAGTCCAAAGAATACTGAGGCGATAAATCAGTGTTTCATATTCATTACAGCGATGCAGATGGACCTCTGCTTTGAACCATCCAATTGTTGTCTTTTAGATTATGTCTCTGATAAAAATCACATTTAAAACATCTACTATTCAGTATTTTTACTTATTGACTTTGTCCTTTCTCTAATCTAAAATGGAGATAATTCACTTTACATTTCCTTTTGAAAAATGACTTGTCAAATGCCACGTTGTGATGAGGGGCTGGCTATAGAGTTGCCATGGTTAAAGAGAAAGAGACATATCACCCAAGTAACTTGGGAAATGTATTAATACTAGAGAGTAGATGTCAAAGATGTTAGTGAAAAACAAACCAGGACACATTTGAAGTCCCTGACAATATACCAAGGGTCACTGGTTATTGTTCACTTGGGTGGACATCTGCTATTCATTTTCTTCCAAGCTGGCACTTAATCCTTTGGAAGATGAAGTACTTGGTTGTATTAGGGAGGATGTATTCTACTTTTTACTTTGAACTTTGTTGATATCTATTTTCTTGAATGGGTAAGGAATAGAAAGAAAATTAAAAATAATGGAAAAGGGGGGTGAATAATTCAAAACATGAGAAGTTGATTACAAAAATACTACAGTTCATATCAATGATCTTACTCATCATCCTGCTCATGGAATGATGAATATTCTGCTTGGATAAATTTATACTTGTATTGTTGGTAAGATTTATCATGCCTGAACCATCAACTTGTCTTACTGTTCAAAGAGCATGAAGTTGTTTCTTTGGGGGGGCCAGGAATTTCTCATTAGCTAAATATTGTTGAGGAAAAATTCTCTGAAGAAATGATCACTTAAGATATATGAATGATTTTCTAATCTCTGGAAGAAAATATCTTAAATTATGTTGCTTCCTTGGATTTTGGAATGTGAGCTGATTGTTGGCTTTAGCCAGCTGGGGTCTATCACACTGAAGCCAAGATAGTAGCTTCCAGAAGCAGTTTGTCTTTTTAAGCTATCTGCCTATGGGCTTTCCTAGAAGGCTCCAGAATTGGAAGAAGTTAAATCAGAAGCTGAAGCTTTGGACAGCTGGTTTCAAGGCAAGTGATCACAGGACACAAACTCCACATGAGGATGAACAGAGATCTCCCTTGGAGGTCTACCTTCCGATCCTCATGAGGCCAGGCACTAGAGGTTCTGTCTGATTTCACTGAATTATGCATTAAAATTATCTCCAGGAGTGTTTTCTACCTTAATTGTACAAATGGCTATGCAGGGTCAATAGATAGAATCCTTCTAGGATTCTAAGATGGCATATTAACTTAGGCACATTTTCAGGACAGTGGGAGGAAAGATTGTACAAATACATGAAAAGACAAATTGTGTCACATGAAGGTCAGTGGTAAGGGCTCAGAAGTGATGAAAGAGAGTAACAAAGAATGGAGTTGGAGTAAAGATCAGAGATAAACCATAGAAGCGCTAAYCCAGGAAGCAAATGAAAGGATTTCAGTAGTAAATGAAGGGAAATTTGAAGGGTTATCTTATAAGGAGTTTCATGGAAAAACAATTGGATTTATTATTTCCTGAGGACAATTAAGGGAATTGTGAAAAAGAAAATTTAGACAAATAATCTGAGATTCTAATGTCAGTTTTTTATCCTTAATCCTCAAACACTTGTTTAAAACTCTATTTTCTCTCCTTATACTAAGGTGTATAAAAATGCTTTCTTCAAAATGTCCTTAGAGAGGTCAAGAGGGCACACATAATGATTCCTAAAAAGGCTAGTTTTGCTTAGACTCGTTCCTGGTTCTAGGTGAGGTATACTTATGCTTTTCCTGTTTCATTCTTCACCTTTGTTTCTTTTGTGTGAGTCACTGCTGAGAAAATTTGCACAGCTTCTGACCTTTCCTTGGAACTTGCTTCTTGGGGTTCTTTGAGCTGCTTTCCTTTGAATGTGTGGTAGTTCCCAGCATGGCACTGCTCCAGCTGAAGGCAGAGTATCACCTGGGCAGCGGGAGGCCCATCGGGTAACAAGTCAGTACCTCATGGACTAGCTGGTTTGTGGTCCAGCCACGTGTCTTTCTTATACTGCTAAAGTTCCACTCTSAACCTTTGGGCCTGTTCTTTGTTTCTTGGGAAATCTTTTAGAGAGGTTGGGAGAGGAAAAGGATAAAACTCAGACAATGCTGACTACAAGTTATGGATCACTMATTTAAATTATTTGTTTAGAGATCATGTTGATAATAGTTAATTATGCTATCAGTTTCTGAGAATTAAGATTTTTCTTTAAAGGCTGGTCTGAAGAATTTGTTATTTTTCACTGAACTATTAAGATGCAGGGAATGCTGAAATTTTCTGGTGCTCTCAAGCATCTATACTTCCAATTTGGAAAGGGAACTAAATGAAGCATATTGTCATGCACATAAGAGCCTTGGAGGTTTCTTAGGGAGAGAACCAAGTATGTGGTGTCACATCTTCCCTTATAACCTAAGAGAACTGAGACCAGGAATTTCAGGGATTCTGTTCAAGGTCATACCCCCAGTGATGGACAGAGTATAGACAAGATCTGTTCTCCCTATTCCCAAGTGAAAAWGCCATACCTRAAAAGGGTCTTTCTCCTGTGACGTTGACATATGCAGTCATTGCAACAGGGTGAACACAATGCATAGTAGGCACTAGTGGGATATTAGTGCTAATTATTGTTTTTATAGGCTAAATTTGTTTATTTATTTATTTGCTTTTGGTACCAATCTCTGAATTTTAAATTTCCTATTTCTCACCAGATTTATTTTTACCAACTTTCAAACACCAACATAGAATATTGTATCCACCAGCTTACATATTGGGAGGATTTGGGTCATTTCACTGTGTTTTGCTGACATGGGACCAAGTAATATCCTTGGTGCTTTGGCTTCTAATTAGATATCATGAGTATAGGGAGAATGGGGATAAGTGGACATTTCTGGGGAGGAAAAAAGGTAGGAGTTTTTTTCTTTTTGTTTTCTAGAGTTTTGGTCTWATTCACCATTGCCAAAATCTGGTTGGTTCTTTTCATAATATCCATATTTCAATGTGCTGTGGAAGACTTTCTTTCTTTCTTTCATGAAATCATTTTAAATTTCTATTATTTGAGTACAACAAAAATAATGTAAAATGCTTGGCATTGTGTCATATGAATCCTAGCTACTCCAGAGACTGAGGCATGAAGATCTCAAGTTTGAAGGCAGCCTATGCAACTTACCTGTCTCAAAATAAAAAATAAAAAGTACTGGGGATGTAACGCAGTGGTAGAGAGCCACTGGGTTCAATACCCAGAAGCGCRCACACAGTAAAAATTTCCACCTTAAATGTTCTGTTAAAATAAATGTCAAGTAAGAGTTGGGTTTTCTATTTAAACCAGGGKACAAAGATATTGAAAACAGCCTTGTACATGAGTGTGAGGACAATCAATTTTGATGCATAGGCCCTTAGTTGATTTGTTTATGTGGTTTACTCCTTGTCATTTCCAGGACCCCACTGGTGACTCTAGGCTTCCCAAGGTGGTAGCAGAGCAGGAAGTGGAACAGCTGAAGACCCAGGTGGCACGCCTTCAGGCTGAAAAGGCAGACCTGCTGGGCATCGTGTCTGAATTACAGCTCAAGCTGACTGCCAGCGGCTCCTCAGAAGACTCCTTTGTTGAAATCAAGATGGCTGTAAGAGKTTTGTTTTTGGTATTGTTTTAAGCAAACTACAAAGCCTCATCTAGACAGAGGAAACAATTACTACTGTTTTTTGCCAACAATGGAAGTGAAATAATGAGGAAATTTTAGTGTAGCAATGATAAATTAGCTCCCATTTTTTAAGTACAATGCTTGCAAGAGTTTCCTAGCAAAAATGAAAAAATATAAATTACCTTTTATGACAAAAGATATAATCATTTTCCCCAACTTGTCYTGGCAAATTGGATGTTTTTGTGACTGACCTAAAAACAACTCAAAACTCAAAAACAAAAAAAAAAAACATAAAGCATGAACTTTCTGGTCATTTTTTAAATCAGGTCTCAAAGCCATGAGACCAGTTCACTCAGATGAGCAGAATTGTGATCAAGTAGTAAACCAATGATTTTTAAATACTTTTTAGTTGTGGGTTTCTCTTTTCAAAGTCTTATGAGGAAYTAGGGAAATTAAAAATGAGAAGAGAGGGAAGAGCTGTTCTGGTGGTAGATTTGTTGCCAAAATCTCTGTCATTGTCCGAAAAGCCAATCCAATAACAAGGTCAGGATTTTGAGAAAAAGGAAAAAGAAGATTTATTGCTTTGCTAGCAAAGGAGAAACACAGGGGCCTCCTGTCCCAACAGCCGTGACTCTGCCCATCAGCAAGAACAGGGGGCTTGTAAAGAGGTTACTCAAAGGCTACATTCTGTGTGTTCTCTGGAGTTGTAATTCACTTGTTCATTTGGGAGGTAAGACCTTTCTGAGAACTTCTGGTACCATCCCCAAAGTCTGGATTACTTCATTCCTATGGTGAGTGTGTACTCTGCCTAGGATGGGGAAGAAAGGTAATCCTGTTTCCCCTGAGATTAGGGAGGACCCAGGAGAGAGGAGGAGAAAGAAACATGTCCATTTAAAAAATAAGTTGCAGTGGCAGAGCAGTAAGAATTATATTCAAAGCATAACATGACCACTGTTATAGGTTGTGGGGTATATAAGAACTGAGTTTGAACCCAGTGCTGTCAAAGTCAAATTCCTGTCAACCCAAAATGAAGTGAGCTAAGCAAGGTGGTGTTTATTGATCCCTAAACTCTTGTGAAGTGTCTATTACGGCTATTTCTGGATATACACATAGTCCTGTTAAAGAGCAGAATGGGTACGTAGATCATGTAGGGGCCTCTCTTTMCATGACACTACAAAAGATTGGACAGTGAAGGAGAAAAACACACAAGGATAAAATCCTCTGTAATATAGAAGGTCATTTGAGCTTTGTCAAAGTGCAGATCTGATAAGGGAAAAGAGATAAATTGTGCCCTGAAAAAGGAAATGGACTTTATAGATCAGTCAGGGGTAGTGGGGAGCAACTTGAAAAACAGCTGATCTACTAGGTATTCTGKAATATTACTGTGGGTCTTCCTTATTCACTTACCACACTAAAGATTAATAGAGTTGGAAAATGGCTCTTAGTGACCTTACTATCCATGCCAAAATCAGGAGAAATTTAGGTTTGAAAAGGCTCCTTTACCAGAGTGTCCTTCCTGGAAGATTACTGAAACAGAAATTTGATCAAAGAGCTTTAACCTTCTGCAAATAACTGATAAAATTCAGGAAGCCAAAAGAGTATATCAGACTTCTCCAAATTAGGCTTGTTTTCTTACAGTTAACATCATCTTCTGCCTCACAGATAAGGGACAGTTGTGCTTGCCTCACTGCTGTGAACTTGAAAATACTGCACAAGATTTAGAAAGTGCAGCTCAGGAGGCTGAGGCAGGAGGATTKCAGGTTTGAAGCCAGCCTCAGCAACTTAGTGAGGCTGTA